TGATAGAGGAGACCTATGAACGGGAAAGCTTCCATATTCAAGGTGCGGAGTCACTTACGAATCCTAAGAAACGGATCATCAACTACGAAACACGACCATTCCAGCCATGAAGAATCTCGAGTGTAGACGCAGTCTTGAGTTGCCTGAATTGACCCGCAGAAGAAGATTGTCCAGGAAGATAATGCCACCTCCTCCCCATATGTAATTGATCACTGGTTTCGATAGTTTCATGAAGCCCCCAAGGATCCGAGCTGAGGTGTCAGGTGAAGAGCCGAGGCTTATCGTGTCACAGGAGACCTAGATAACGTTGTCAAGAGGGATGGAAAAGATGACCATGATGACCATGATGACCATGTCTTCACATCCAGTTTTGCCAGGCCAGTCGTCCAATACGAAAAAGTTCCTTATTCGGTTTGAATGCCTTCCTCATAGTTACGATGGAAACTCCTGTGGGCGTAGTAGAAAGTACAGTCGATGGTACCCATGAGGCACTAGAGGAAAACGGTATGTAGCGCGTCTGTGCGTTCTGTGTTCTCTGTCCGATCATCTGCAGCACCAGAAGGTTGTCTCTCACCAACTTCGGGCAAACAGTTTGCGATAGCGAGGTATAGGGGTCAGATGGCCCGAAGTGGTTGGCAACATGACCCCGCTTGCGACCAGTCCTGTAGAACACCCCATAGGGAGGTTACCAAGCAACACCTTCCTTATGAAGGTTTGGGTCTTGATGAGGGAACATAAATGTGTGTAATAAGCTCCCTCAAGAAAGAGCGTGCTTAGTGCTGCTATGGGCTTCTCATAGGAGAGGCAAACATTGGTGTTTTTGATGAAACAGAAACCTCTCTGAGCCCATGCACGAATATCGTGAGCCCATTCCTGGATGGTGTTTAACCCTTGAGAAGGGGTCAATGGAGTCCAGCAAATTATCTTGGGTGTCTCTGAAACCTCTCCTGACTCCCTTGCAGGGTCGCGGCCACCCAGACACATGAAAGTCCTCATCCGCTGATCAAACACAGGCGTCTGTGCCACTCTGTCTGGGAGGGAAGGGCATGGGCAGTCAGACCGCAAGTGGTTACGAACATCTTTACCTAGTGGGTTGCCAAGCAAACAGGTGCATAAAGTTGGCCAGGTGTTCAAGAGGGGACCAGTCTCTCGAATGTGGGTGACGGATGTTGTAGGTTACACAGCCATTTACCAGTAGGATCCAAGATTGCTTCCATGTCTTCTGAGTCAGAGTGCGAGGCACCGTCATCCTCCGCTACCTGGGGCTCATCCAGAAAAACCTGTACATGTATGCGAAGCCATATGTGGATTCCGAACCATCGTCGTCAGACCCTGATGCCTCCGTGTGCCTTTGTTCCATGATGGACAGATAATGTTGCAGTCCTCAGCCGCGATGGGGTCAGGGCAGGTGCCGGAGTCGGCGTAGTGTGTTTGGCGGGGGCATTGTCCATGGACTGTAGAGGTCTAGTGTCTTCACTATTCCAGTGGCACTTGCTATGATGGGGGGACCCCTTAGCAGAGACCTCCCAGGCATCAGAATCCACCTCGTAGTGGTGAGGGGACCGGCCCTCCAGTCAGTAAATTTGAGTGTTTCCTCCATGAATGCAGCCACCGTTGTGTGTCTCATGTCCTGAAATTCCACAGGGTTAGCCAGGGAATCTTCCATAGTGGTAATTTGTGTGACACAGAATTGGGTAGACGGTTATATTTATCATGATATGGGATACCCCTGTAGCAGGCACAAATTAGTAGACCATTTCAGGATGCAGGGCAAACAGACCAGACTACCATAGTAGCAGGCAATGCTCACAGAAACCCATGCAGGGTTGTAATCTTAACAGTGGCCAAAAAAATAGACTGGGGTTCACCCAATAAACAGAGGCTGCAACAGCATGCCTCCACTCAGCAGCACACATATAGGGGGCTCAC